GGTCCGCGGATATCCTCCTTTTTTTTTCTTTTTTTTTCTCCCCTCCCTTTCACAGAGGAGTCCAGGGTCGTCTCTCCCCCCCGTGTTTCATCTAAACAGTAAGTAAGCTTGTCCTCGGATACCTCCCCTCTCTCTGGTTCTGGTTCTGCCTCGCCGCCGGTGCGAGGAGGGCGGAAAAAAAACGAAGGAACAAATCAAACCTCGTTAACGTTGTGTTTCTGCCGGGAACAATCTGTAGAAGCGACGTTCCGTTCCGCGCCTGGCGCGTCTCTTTGGTTTCCCTGAACTTGATAAAAACGTGCTGAGAGTTGCGCGAGCAGCCCCACGGTTTGGGTTTGGTGTTTTTTTTTTTTTTTTTTTTGGATGAGGATGATTTGCGAGCGCAAAGCCCAGCCTTCCTCATCAAAGCAGTGATCAAGTTGATTTGCCACTCAGCGAAGTAAGTTTTAGAAACGTGACTTTTGTCCCTTTTTTAAAGAAACTAACAGATTTAAATAACTTTCATCAAAAAACCTTGACCCTAATATGTTGTTCTTGTCTTTGTTGAGGGTTGGATCTGATCTCTGAGCCTGTTTTAGTTACAGAAACTCTTTAGAAGCAGCTCGTTCCTTCATGTTTGGTTTCTGTCTCATCTGAGCAGTTCTGATCTGGTTTGGGTCCAACTTGTTCCTCATGCCAAACGTCACCTCCACTCCAACTAACACTTAAAGACATACCTGACTTAATTTTACCCAAAGCTCATCTTAAAAGTTCAAAGCTTTAGGTAAGGAACTGACAAATGCTTCCAGCTTTAAAAAAAACAGTTTAAAATAAGTTGAAAGAAGGAGATTTGTTTTCTTCATATGAGTGAGATAAATAAAGAAGAGTGGGCAGGGGGTGGGACAGGTGCGCAGAAAGACAGGTGCAAATGACTTCAAGTTCTTTGTCAAGATCCAAAGTTTCTGAATCCTTGTAGATGTGTTGCTTCTTGTTTGAGCTGCTGAGTCACCGAAAGGGTTAAAGAAGACAAAACATTATTTCCTATATGCCTCAGGACTTGTGTTCATATTAAAGTGGGATTTTTATCCAAATTTTCCTTATAGAAAATGCATTTAACTTGTGTCAGAGTGTGACAAAGCCAACATTGTGTAAGTGTGTTATGGTGTGTGAGACAAGAGACACCTAATAAAGAGAAAATAATTGTATTATTAGTTTGCAACTTTCCTCAAAAACTTGTTGTAAAATATCTTTCATTAAAATCAAATCAACGTATTCTATATTTAAGACCCAAAATGCTGTTTGCCTGTTTTGTAGCTTGAACTCGGACTGAAACCGTAAAGTTTTGGTTTCTAAAAACAAAATTTATTCTGCAGCTCTGACTGAGCCACGGCCTCTTATAGTGTTTTTCTTCGTTGCGTGGCATTTTTTTAGTGTGAATGTTTGCCAACTTTCACTCCAGTCTTTAAATCCCTTTTATTCGCTCCTGCAGCATCTTAAAACGCTCAAACCGCTTTTTTGCTGATTTCTCTGTTCTCAAGAGCGTTCTGGTGTGGCTCGGACTAAGACACCGCCGCCGCTGCTTACATGGCACTATTGATGCAGACCTGTACTGACAAAACGGTTCGCTTTCAGAGGGGCATTAGGGGGTTTTGTAAGAGCGCTTTAAGTTTCTCTTTGCCAGAGTTGACCCTCGCGACCTTATCCGTTTGAGCAGAATTAACTGCCCCTGCCAGATGAAAAGACAAACAAAAAAAACACAGAAGTGAGCTCACGCTGGCACCAAAATCAATAGGTCTATTTTGTGTTTCTTTTTTTGTGTCACTCTCCCCGTTGAGTTAGATACGATGGCCATATTGATCGGAGCAAACACAGAATTTTAAAATTACTCCAAGTGTGAAGACGGTTTATGAACTTGCTCATTCATGGTGTCTAAGATGTGCACTCCTTTCCCCGTTTGCTTTTCTTTTTTTAATAATCTAAACCTCTTTTTCTTTTGATTTGATTTTGTTAGCTCCTAGCTCCTACTCACACTACACAATCATGGAAATGAGGACAAGTACTTAAGTAATTATCATAATTTTATGCAGCTTTGTGTTCCGTGGGAACTGGTTCAGTGTCGCGCAGCATGTAACAGGGGACAGGAGAAAATGTAGGACTTTGCCCTGGAATGTCGAGCCAAGGCCTAAATCTGACCCAATCTCCACTGTTATCTTTACCCCCACGTCTCTGGTGCTGACAGCTTTACTGCTGAAATGTAACCATGGATGCGTCTGTCTTTATAGAAACATAGAGCTGAATAAAATATCTGCTTTCTTGGGGCAAAAATCGCCTTAATATTAGCTGATTTTTKAAATATATTTTGAAGTTTTAGCTTTTTTGCTTATTAAATCCTAATTTGGAGAAAATACGGAACAGTAAAAATAAAGGTTACTGCATGACATTGTCTTTTTTAGTGAGTTGTGCTACTTTTATCTTCTTTCCCTTCATAGATACTCAGAGGCTTTGACCCTAGAGGACTGGGTTTGTGGGATATGGCCCAATAGCAGCAGCCCGTGATGCCGGACCATGACAGCGACTCCCTCCTGAACAGACAGACCAAGCGAAGACGTGTGGACATTGGTGTGAAGAGGACCGTCGGCAGCACAGCCTCCGCCGCTGCAGCGACCCCAGATAATATCGCTCGCGCCAAAGCAGCCATTTTCAGTGCCATGAACTCTCTGAGCTCCCATTCTCACCACGGATCAGACAACGACTCCATGGAGTGCTCTGTAGTGCAGCCACATGGTGGGCCTGGCGTTGTGTCAGCCAGTGACAGCGAGTCCAAGTCAAATGTACTCCGAAAGCTGCTGAAGAGGGCCAACTCATACGAGGATGCCATGATGCCCTTCCCTGGCACCACCATTATCTCTCAGCTTCTCAAGAATAACATCGCTAAAAATGGAGGAGGACCTGAGCGGGGAGAAAGAGGAGACAGGGGTGACAGAGTGGAAACAGGTTTTCCTGGGTCGGGCCTTTCTAATGCTAGCTCCGATGCTCCCCAGGAGGACGCCTGCAGTAACTCCTCCCAGGACAGCACCCCTCAAGAGTGCTTGTCCCCGTTCGGCCGCCCCCCCGGCCTGGCCGCCTTTGACATCGAGCGTCTCAACGACGAACACCTGCGCGCCAAGCGAGCCCGCGTGGAGAACATCATACGTGGCATGAGCCACTCCCCGAGCGTCGTGGTGCCCGCCGCGTCCCGTCACGAGCGCGACCACGACATGGACGGCGAGCGGGAAATGGAGCTGGACTGCCCTCCGCCCCAGTCCCAGCACCAGGCCCCCGGCAGCCCGCGGGGAGGGGAGGTGTGCGGCGGCAGCCGGGAGAACAAGCGCAAGCAGCGGCTGCCTCAGCAGCAGCAGCAAAGCTTCACCCAGCTGGTGTGCCAGAGGAAGGAGCAGAAGCAGGAGGAGAGGCGGCAGCTCAAGCTGCAGCTGGAGGACATGCAGAAGCAGCTACGGCAGCTGCAGGAGAAGTTCTTCCAGATCTACGACTCCACCGATGACTCGGAACACAACGACCTCCATAACGACCTGGGAAACATGTCAGAGGACAGCCCGGTGAGGTCTGACACCGGTGGAGACGACCGGGGCGGAGATGACTTGCGCTCTGACAACGAGATGTCGGATCTGGATCCGGGCCACTTCCTCGACAGGGCTCGGGCTCTGCTTCACGAGCAGGCCATGCTGGCCGACAGAGAGAAGCCGAGAAGAGACGGTCTCGGCCGAGGCAAAGCAGGTCCAGGCTCCTCCATGCATGCTGAAGGTAAACAGCTCGCAGAGACGCTGAAGCAGGAACTCAACTCGGCTATGACCCAGGTCGTGGACACTGTGGTCAAAGTATTCGCTAAGCCTCCACGTCCGACTCCTCAGCAGGCCTTTCCTCCGCTCTCCCTACCCCCTGAAAGATTTCCTCCTGCTGTAAACGGAGACAACCCCAACTTTCACACGGCCAACCAGAGGCTGCAGTGCTTCGGCGATGTCATCATTCCCAACCCACTAGACTCCTTTCCTAGCATGCCGGGGCTTCCAGGCCCCACCAACGACCAAACCGAGGCGCTGCCCTTAGTAGTGAGGAAGACGCCCAGTGAGCACCACCACCAGTCTTCAGCTGTGGGTGCCCATGGTAGTAACCACCACCCTGCCCTTCACCCCTCTTCGCTCTCTGCTTCCATGGGCTTTAGCCCGCCGTCTTTTCGGCATCCCTTTCCACTGCCGCTCATGGGCTACCCTTTTCAGACTCCCCTTGGCGCGCCCACGGGTGGTTACCCAGGAAAGGACCGTACCTCGCCCGACTCCATGGACCTGCCTCGGGAGACCACCAGTCTGAGGACCAAGATGGCGTCAGGCCACCACCTGGGGCATCACCATCGCTCTTGTTCACCAGCACACCCAGGCAGCACGGCTGAGAGTCTCTCCTTGTCCCTGATCAAGTCAGAGTGCAGTGATCTACAGGACATGTCTGACATCTCACCTTACTCAGGAAGCAATGTATCCTTTTAAAAATAAAAATAAAAAAACGGTGAGGTTTGTATTTTCAGAGATGTAAAACACAAAGAATAAATATGTTTTAAATTTGTTCTGACCAGTTTGTGCCRGTTTAAACCAGTGGAAACCCGCTCATAGGTGGTAAGACCTCTCTGAGACTCGTCCGAAACCATGCAAAAACCACAAAAAGTTAAAAATCAAATCTGTTTTAATCTGTTTGAAACTAGCCTAAGAAGCTGAGAAATTGTTGATGAATCACTTTTCCTCCCACTGCTGTTCCCTTCACCATTGTTGTATTTATTTTTATATCCGTACCTCTTCCTTCTCGCAGCACCAGGCAGCCTTTTTTTTTTCGCCGTCTTCAAACCTAAGTGCTTTAAAAGCTTTCTTGTCGTATATCACTTGCTCACAAAGACATTCGCTTACCCAAAGATTCTGGCTGAAATGATAAGGAGGGAGATGAAATCCAGAAGCTCGGCTCACAATGGCGTCCTAAAACCTGTCTTACAGTTTAACCCCAGTTTGCCCCAATAATGCCCTGTGGATAAAGAAGCTATCCCCTGTGGGAGGCTCAAATTGAATCCCCTGTGGACAAAAAACTAATAGTCCCTTCTCAGTTTCCCTTATACCTCCTTAGTATCTGACCATTCAACACTCACCCTTATAAAAGTTTGGTTTGAGTCCCATCGGTTGCCTATGGAAGTCTTTGTCTTCACCTCATTAACATTCATTACACACTTAAGAAATTAATCCTACAGCCTTTTTCTTGTTGTGTGTATATTAGTTAAGTGAATACCTTGTTGTTGCTTTTGTGTGCACCTGAGTATCACTGGTCTTTTTTTTTTTTTTTGGTCTTTTGTGTGTGTGTGCGTGTCACAAAAGGTTTGCCTGAGGACTCGGGGAAAGATGTATATTTATGATTGCTTGTGTTTTCTCTTGTGTTCCTCTTATCATCCATCGCTGTTGTAAAAAGCCCACAATCATTGTCGTTTCTTTTCTCTCCTTTTTCATTTCATAAAGATCTGTCAACAGCCCGGGGGGCCCTTCGGCTGTTGCTTGGCAGCCAAATACTTCTTTTTTTTTTGTTGTTTTACCTCCCTGCCAACCCCCCCCTCCGCTCCTCTCCCGTCTTTTCTTTGAAGCGGACGTTAACAGGTGTTTGCAGCGAGCTGTTTATCTTTCATTACCTCGCCTTGTCTTGTCTTCTGACCCCAAGGGTGAACGCTTTCCAGAGATCCATAATCCTTTGCTTCTCCAYGGGCTCCCGATGGAGGGATGAAAAGAGAAAATGGAGAGGAAAAACATGCAGAGTCTGAAAGAAAGTAAGGAAGAAAAAAAAGCAATCAAACAATAACCACATATGCCAGATGCTGTGGCTTTCATTGTAGCGTTTATAAATTCAGATGGACTCCCCCAATTGAAAATAATTGACTGAACAACATTCAGCAGTTTCGTTTTGAAATGTTGTTCCAAAAAATTAGGCCTTTTCAAGAAACAGTTTAGTGATGTTTTGCTGTAATAATTATGACATTTCTCTACGTTGTTACAACTATATGTGACCAATCATATCGAAATGAGGATTAAGTCAAATTTGGTCAAAATGAACTAATTACATTTTCAGATTCTTGGCCTTAAAAGTTACATTTTGATATCTGGATCATTCGGATATAACGAAATACATATATATGACTTCATTTGTCTTGTTGGTTACAATAATACATAAATATTTGTCTGAATCCTAATTTTATGTCATTTTAATGAGGAATTTTTGATGTCCTTATAAAGAGGAAACCTCAAATTATATTTGAATATTGAGATTTCCCAGCTAAAAATAAACAAAACTTTGCCAGCTCACAGGGAAACTCTCAAATTTTAAGGTGTTTTTCCTCAAAATCAGTTTTTTTTGTTGCTACTGCTCAAAAAAGTGCTTCATTTCATGATTATATTTCAGACAGTTCATCCAAATGATACATTTATAAGGCTTTTATTCATTATATTTTGACAAAATGCWATTTTTGTTAACATTTTAGTCAAAACACTATATCTACCTTTTTCTCCATATACTGTACCACTTATGGACTTAATCCTTGTTTCGATGTGATGGGTCACATATTTCTGTGGATTTTTATTATATTTATTTTTTGTTGRAAACAACTCGTCAGACACTCTGTGAGGTGCGTTCAAGTTCACCGGCTCTCGTTGGTGTTTTACAGCAGATGGCTGCCATCGATTTTCCCATTTGTTCCGAGTCCGACTCCAAATTTTCTTGTCCTTACACCTATGAATTAGGAAGCAGAGCAGCCATTCTCCCTCTCATGACTTCGTTCTTCGGGGAAGTGTTGTGGGAATTATGATATCTTGTCAGATGTGGCAGGCAAACAGTGGGCCAGCTGGTGCGAGTGTGCCATCATGACAAAATAATAGCCTTGCACGCCACCCCTAAGTCCAATCACAATTACATTTGCAAGCTGTGAGTGAATTGGGAATGAAAATGTCTAATCAGGAAGTATGAGGCTTTTTAATTGGTAGSTGAAGGGAGGTGAGATTGTGTAGTAGAATTGTACCGTCTGATAAGAGGAAAGTGTTGCTAATCCTWATTGAAAACTCAAAAACAAATTAATCTGAATATAAGAGCGAAGACAAATCTCACCTGTTCTTAAAGAAAAAAGCTATCTTTCTCTCTGCTTTCACTGAGGAACCATTGTTTCCCTTCTTCTTGGAGCAGATGGTGTGGTGTGGAAAGTGAAGTGCTGCTCTTTTGGCCGGGACTGTCAGAGGAACACCAGTCTGCCAGGGATCCCCCACCCCTCCCCTGCAAGACCCTCACTGGGTGTCCTGTCCCTCTCCCTTTTCTGAATCACACAAAAAAAAAGTAGCCARGGTCTTTAAGGAGCCAAACGCAGTGTGGTTCAGGATTTGCTGGCTCTGCCGTGTAACCCCAAGGCCAAGGGCAATCCAATCTAGCAGCTGATGCTTTCTTCCCGCTCTGTAGTTACAGCTACATCTGGACCCTTGACTGATTTTAACAATCAACCCTGTCTGTATAACAGAATCCGTGTCAAGTGATGTWTAGCTGCGTTTCCATTGACCATGAAAATGCGCAAATTAGAATTTTGAAAATAAATTTGCTCAATGGGAACACGTCAGTTTCAGAAAAAAATATTTTTTTTTTCGACAAAATGTTTTTGCGCTAGGATGAGGTGGTTTTTTGGCTGTATCGAAATTGGTGTTTTTCGCAAAACTGCAATGGAAACACTTTTTTCGCATCACGGGAGTCACGTGATCAACAACCGGCTGTTTCTACTGGCGAAAAAGACGACGACGAGGAAGATAACAGGAAGTAAAAGTAGTAGTGAAATCACCGACGTAGTAAAATAAAGTAGTAAACTCACTGACTACATTTTCCCAAAAACACAGCATACGTAGCCGTTCCCAAGTATAAGAGGCTTGTCACTGGAAAGCCTCGATAAAAGACGCCGACGTCTCCTCTGATGATGAGCGCTAGTGTCGCGGTAGC